AGCCCCCCCCCATCTCTATGTGCCTCTCTAGGACCGCGGCTCTCTCTTGCTCTCTCTCTATCTGTGATAGTACTCATTTTGTTAAAAAAGAAAAGGAAAGAAAGGAAAGGTGGGAAGCTTATTACTCATCCTACGGGAATAATTAATTTTTTTAACGTTCCGGAATAACCTGAATATCATATTAAAGGGGATGAAGATATTTATTATAGTTCCCATACTTGGATTCTCTATTCTACTAGTCATAAACCCACCTTTGTGTTACATTCCCACCTTCCTTTTTTTTTTTAGCAGCCAGTTTAAAGCATCTTCAGCTGTGCTGCAAAAACCCCTTCCAATTCTTTGCCCTTCCCTTGTGACTTTCTATCATCCCTTGTGCACGTAGCATCTTGCCTAGAAGCTCCGCACCCCCCGGTTTTGCTTAATGACACCCCCCCCCCCCCCCTCTTTTTTCCCCGAGCGCAGCTCCCACTGTTTTCTGTTCTGGTTTCTTACTGAGTTAGTGCTTGTTCGTTACTTCTAAATAAAGCTGAATCACTTGCTGAATCACTCTACGAGTCCTTTGTTAGCGCGATCCAACAGTCAACATCCAGGTGGGGGCTGGAATTCTCCCCAGGATAGAAGGGGCCTCCAGAGTACAAGGAAATCCAGAGGAAATGGCTGGCGAGTTCTGGCGACTCCTATGGGGGGCGAGGAACAAGAAGCAAAACCAGCTCATTTTTAAATCCAAAAATGGAACTCAGGAGCAAGTTCTTGGGGATGGAGCCACACACACCCCTTTACCATGCTGCACCCAGTTTAATAAACTCCCTTCTGCCGCCCGGAACACTAATAAAATAAGACACTTGGGGACAGAATACTTGCAAACCCGCCCTCCCCATGATTTTAATCGATTGCATTTTTTAACCTGCGGTTTAACTTACTGCATGATTTAAGCTTATTGCAACTTTAACCTATTGCTTGAGAGGGCCTGAGCTCAAGCGACTGGTGTCCAAAAGCAAGGCATTCACAGCACATGACCTCCCCCCCCCCCTTTCGCCTCCTGCCGGAGACCTGCTGGATGCTGCAGCTGAAAGAGAAGGAACCGTTCAAGCCTCCTGGTCCCGCCAGAAAGCCCAGCTTGCCTCTGCCCGGGGAAAGATTTGCAGAGCACGGCCTGATCGGCTCCACCCGGTCAGGAGGTGAAATGGACGGGACATTCAATGGGGCGGGAAGGGGGGGGGCAGGCGGGGAGTGTTCAACTAGTTTCCCTATTCCAATGCAAATACGTCTCTGTTGTTCACAAACGGCCCCGGGGGCACAGCCAGAGAAGTCTATGCAAGAACACCGAGGATGAACCCAACCTGACTCCCAGAGACAGCATGGTTTAGTGATGGGGGGGGGGGGTCCCCCAACGTAGTGCCCGTGGGCGCTATGACTCCAGCAGACACCTTCTTTTACGGCACTGCCAAGTGTTTTTAGAAAGTGGGTGGGGCGTGGTAGGGCTTTTGCCCAGCAAGACTTCTGATTGGCCATTGGAGATTTGATTGGTTCTGCAGAGGTTTTAAAACAATTGTTTTAGAACCTGCTGCCCCCACAGTGGAAGGATCCATCTAGATACACACACTGCGTTACTTGAAGGGACCGTGAAGTTAAGCTGTGCCAACCGTTTTGTGGCTGCCTTTGCCTCCTGCTGCGGCGGCTCGAATGGTTAAGACGCTAAACTGCAGGCTGTGGAAGGTCAGTAGTTCAGCAGACCCGAGTCCAACCTAGCAGTTCGAAAGCAAGAAATTGCAAGTAGATAAATAGGGACCACTTCGGTGGGAAGGGAACAGCGTTCCGTGCGCCTTGGTGTTTAGTCATGCCGGCCACATGACCACGGAAACGTCTTCGGACAGCGCTGGCTCTTCGGCTTGGAAATGGAGAGTCGGACTCGACTGGCTTTCGAGCAAGGGAACCTTTACCTTTACCTTGCCTCCTGCAGCAGCCATTTTGTTGCTGTGCCCACCACCGGGGTCAGTATGTCAGACATGGGAGAGCTAGTTTCCAATCCCCGGTCTGCCTTGGCAGCTCTGCCTTGGCAGCTCACCGTGTGACTTTGAGCCAACAGACACGGGCCTCCATGCCCACCATTACATCCCAGCATCCTCACTTGTTTCTCCCTTGTCTCCATACATCCTACATTTGTTTGTTGTTGTTCAGTCGCACAGTCGAGTCCCCAAGAAGTATTTTGACTTGCAGCTCTGCGGGGAGCGAGGCACGTCGGAAACCCCGAACACGTGTCTCGCGTGAGGGGCGCTCTGCAGAGGCGGAATGCAGCCTGGTGTCGTGGTTACGTTAGGGGAAACCTTGGATGCCCTGAGCCAGCCCCCTCCCGCTCCTGAAGTGAACAGAGGAGACTTTCCTGGCCGGCTGAAAAGAACAGAACGGGCCTGTGAAATTTGTTTTTCTTTGTTTAAAAGACCGGGGGGGGGG